AGTTTATGTCACAGAGTCTGCAACCCTATTTCATAAGTATGGAAAATGCACAAAATCTGCAAAATATTATAAAACATTAAAAAATTTAAATCACTAAATTACCTTAATTGAAATAACTTTAAACTAAGGAACTCAATTTAATTCGTTTATTCTATCACAGCAGGTCACAGCAGGGGGGGGGGGGATTACATTGAGGAGAGAATAAGCAGCCAGCCCTAGTAAACAAACTAAAACTCATAAGCATAATCTGAAAGCAAAAGTGTTTCCTAATTAAACCTTCTTGCTGAGCGGTGCCGAAAAGGGGAAATTAAAAAAAAATGAATAAAAAAATAAAAACAGTCACATATTTATATTCTTTACGTGCAATTTTAAACACGGAACACGAAAAGGCACCGCATACGAGTGAAGATTTTGCTAAAACTTCCGAGAATATTAGAATGGTTCTCTGGATTGTTTCTATCAAGGTATCTGAAGAAATGGATTAAAAAACTTTTTTTTTTAATATAAATAATGGAGTAGAAGTTCGTTTAATAATTTTAATTCGTATTATAATTTACAAATTTTACAACAAAGCAAAAAACAGTACATTTTAATCCATATTTGACCTCAAATGGAAATTAGTGTGCAAACAATCAACGTTGAAATATCACTTCGATTTGGAGAGAATGGAAGTATTTTTATTCATTCAATCGTATAAAAGAAGTACAGAGTACGCATTTATTTGTTAAAGTGCACCATCACAAAACTCGACCTCATATTATTCTTTCCAATCTCTTAAGCCAAGGTAGCAAACTATTTCGCATATTGCGAGACAGACTGCGCTGTCCCAGTTGCCGCGCCATTAATCACTCGCGAAACAGACGAAAAATATGCACTAGTCGAGAGCTGTGCTTGGCGCCGTGGGTGCGAGCGCGCGTGATAAATGAAAAGAGCAGGCACATTACCTGCGAATACATTACGTCGGAGGCGGCGAAAGAGAACACCAGAGGACACATGTAAACTACCGTGGCGCTGAAGGTGGAAAGAGAGAGAGGCAGAGGTGGTTGGGCATTGTAATGATATTGCCACTTGCAAAGTTTTGTGGCGAGTTCAGGTGGGTTCGGGCGCCGCAGCTGCTAATTCAAAGTTTGCCCACATTCCAGGCGAAGGAAATTATCAGATTTTCAACTCAGCGCCCCGGATAACTAGCGTGGTTGGCGGCAGAGGACAAAGTTTGTTTTATTATAACGGGCGGAAACTATATGAAATTTTTGTTTACAGGTCACAGAACAATATAGTTAGCTCTAATTGAAGTGAATAATTAGTAAACTAAATTCTATTCAAATCTATATTGATCTATCTATGTGTTTGGATTTACCTTATTTCCTGAAAAGCAAAATTTATTTTATTGATCTATTTAAAAGATTAATAAATTGAAAAGAAATTTTCTGCAGAAGTCGTACTCGGGTTGAACAGAAACAAGAAAATTATAATTTAAAATGTAATAAATATGCCATTTTTAAAATGATATAAATTATAGACTAGAAAGAATTACATTTTTTGATAAATTTCAAGAAGTGGCATTCGTTCTTTAAATTCATGGGGCAGATTTTTTTCGTTTGTCATGCCATAAAAAATTGTAAAATAAAGAACGGGAAAAAATATCTACATCACCTAAAGCTCTCCGGTGAACCGAAATCTTGCCAATTTTAGATTTTGAGATGATATGCAGAAGCATGAATTTGAATGGAAATCTTAAATCAATATCAATGTTTTCACCTCGAAAATTAATTTAGCAAAACCCACCCCTTTATTTTGTTTTATAAAATACTGGCTTATTCTGAAACATTAATTTAAGCACATATTTATTTTTATTTCTGTTTTTATGTACAATGGACTTCCTTTTTCAGTTAATTGGTCGATTTCTGTTGAGGTCAAGCGCAAAACAGGGAATTATTTTGCACGTTTACATGGAAACTCTTTGTACGTGCGATAATAAAGCGTCGTTTATGCTCGCTCGAAGCGGCCGTTTCCTAATTGGCGTCGCACGAGAGACTCGAATTAATTGTGTTTACGAGCATTTCATTGAAAAGCATCGCACGGGGAGACCAGCAACGATATAATGGCTTTAATATCTCGCACGAGAACCGCCTGCACCAATAAATATAAAATTAAACGGCCGGAGCTCTCTCTCGCTACAACAACATCAGAGGCCGGACGAAACGGGGGCGGCATCCAGGTGCCTTTCAAATTCGGGCAACGCGCCCGACCGACGGCACATATAACCCTTTGAAACGAGTCAAAATTCGTGCGTGTGCCCACGCGGCGGGTGAAACTGCAAAAATCGACCGTGCACAGTTTGTTCGTTCAGAGAGGATATTATTTGAAGCTCAAAGCCATCCGCAGCTCAAAGCAATTTGCAGAAATTTTGGAAATTGATGTCAATAACCGGTAAATTAATATTAAATTTTGTTCAAGGCAATTCCCTTTTGGTGAGAATATGATGGATTTATAATTTAACGTAAATTAAAATTAAAATTTAGTGTTTCGGGAAAGAGGAATTTCAAAGGAATGCAGGAACCAAAAATGCAATTTCAGAATCCTTTTGTCTTTTCAATAAACTATGTCTTTATAAATTTTGTATTTATTTTGAAAAAATTTCAATTGGATTTTTAAGAGAATTTATATTGAATTTTGCCAATTTGGAGATAAAAATCTTCATTTTTTTTTTTAACAATTTAGACACAATTTTTTGGTTAAGTAAGAAAAATGATAAAATAATATATAGAAATTGTCATAATATTGAGTACATTAATTTATTTTTGAAAGAAACACTTAAAAAATTTATTATATAATATAAATTTTAATGCATTGTAAAGAAGGAATTTGAAACGTTCAATCCAGGTTCAATCAAAATTTATACACCAGGTACTTGATCCCTTTCAAGAAACGTTTCAATTGTTGCCGAAACGATTTGGTGTCGCATAGGGGCGCGAAATCGATTTGGCTCTTGCAGCTGCAAAGTCGATCGGCACACCCGCTTATACTTTTCGGTGGCCGGTTGTTTGCGTATGCACCGACCGTGTGTGTGATGATATTAAACGGGGTCGCCGCCGATATTATCATTTCTCGCAAGTTCATCCAATATGGTGAAAATCCTCGGGTCTTATCATAAAATTGAAGATAAGTTTCAATTGACACGGCCGCGCTCGTGGGAGCTGCAAAGGAGGCTGGTGGAGAGAAAAGCGAAAGAAGAACTTTTCTTTCCTCTTTGTGCTGCGGTGTATTGTGTCTCTTTTGGGGGCAAAGAAAGTCTCGTAGAAATTCGAGCAGCACGCCCGCCGATTCCCGAGCAAAGAAAGTCTCGTCGGTATCTGATGAGACAAACGCCTACTCTCTCGGCTTATTTGCATTTTGGTTGAATTTTCGCACTGCAAAGAAAAGGCGACACGCGATGTGTATCCGCTATAGCAATTCCATGGAGTATAGACAGTCGCGATTTTTAGCACTCTCACCGCTTTGTAAATAAACGGAGATTAAATTTGCTTTTAATTATGTTGTCTTTCCAAAGAAAAACTGGTAATAAAATTTATTTATTCCCTTCAGGAAATTTTAAATATTTTCCGTTGAAAACTAGATTGGTCTTCAACCATTTCTGATATCTCTGTTGGTCCAAATCAAAAGTCGAAATCGAATGAATACAATGAGCACTGCAATCAAAACAAACGGTTCTGTTATTTGTGTTAACAGTACTGAAAAATCAACATAAAAAGGTAAATTTTCCGTTCGATACAAAATAAACTTCTACGCCATATTATGAAAATTGTAGAATTTACTTGTATGTAGATCAAGAGTCCCCATAAAGAAAAATTCATTTTGAACCTTTTCTTGCCTTTTCTTTCTTCACATAAAATATACAATTGTAAATTATTTCTAAAACAAAACTGAAATCACAAAATCTGTGGTTAGCTTCATTTGTTATTTTCTTTAGTTCTCTTCATATTGATTTATATTTCTTCTAAGGAAAATTATTAATTGCGTTGCACAAATTTTTTTAAAATATTTAATTTTTTTTAAATTTCCACTCATTTATGATAAACCTGCTGTATAATGGAACTTTTAAAGCTAACAATTCAAAAACTAAAATTACCCCATCTGAAAAAATTCAAGAATAAGAAATCAAAATTCTTCTCACTATTTCGAATAATTTCCAAAATCCCCCAATTTTTCATTTTTTATTTTGCATATTTTTTTTCCCTGTGCGTTAAATACCGCGACAAAAATCAAATTTCTCTTTCAAATTATATCCAGGGTTGCGGATCTCCTCTACAAATATCAATATTTTTTGTCCCAAACAACGTATCTACACCGATGTGAATGTAATGACGAAACTAAAAATTAAATTGTTTCTTATGATTTAAATTAAATCATTTCGTGTATGATATTGTATTTAGTTGCAAACATTTATTAATATTAAATTTTTCTTGTAATTTATAAACAACGACTTATTAAGGCCACCAACAGCAAATAGCAAAATTTATAAATTCTTTATATTTAATAACTAAAACTCATTAAAATTGTAGCAGAAAATTTTTATTATAAAAAATAAACAATTACAAACATTTTTTTAATCATAAATTTTGCAGAATGACAGTAATAAACATGAATTATTTTAATCAAAATTCAAAAAATAATAAACCATGATGGTACTACCAAATATTTGCACGCATTGATGCGCACCATTACGCATCACGCGAGGGGTGGCCACTGAAATAATGTATATCACCCTTGCTAAACGGTAATGGGGTAGAAAATACAAGAAGTGCAACCACAGCACAACAAAGTTGCGAGCATCAAGTGCGTTGGTGTAAGACGATTTTGGCGAATTGGGCAAGGAAGGTGCGGCGGCGGCGGCTGCTGCCAGAGGAGCCCCTTCCACCCCTGCCCGCCCTCTCGCCAGTTGGCAGGGCAAGATAATGCGCGCGCGTCAAAGTGCCAGCCGGGTATCAGTCGAAGTGCGGTCGTGCTCGCGGAAAGACCCCGTTCGCCAGCCGCCCCCGACTGCCGCCTCCACCTCCTCTTGCAGTCAGTTTGTGCTCTTTCGTGACCGTTCCGGAGACTTTGTTGGCCGGAATTCCGGAGCGGAATTTCCTAATTTGTTGTGCTTGCTGCGGACCCGTGGAGCTGCTGCAATTGGTCTCGGAATTCACCGTGAGAAAGGTACAGGTGGAATTGAGTGCCTATCTTTACAGTTTTCAGAAAAAGTGTATTTTTTCTCCGAAAATTCAGAAATGAATTTATTTAAATTTTAAGCAAATAATTTAAAATTAATGAAATGCGATGATTGATTTTCTTTTAAGAAGAATTTTTCAGCTCATTGTATCTTTTTACAGACAAGTTGATAAAATATCAATTTGTATGCAATTTAAAATAATCGGAAAACAAATAATAGACCAAAAATACCACTATTTTACTTTTTGTTCGTAATAATTGGGAACCAACTTGTGAAGAATTGTATACAAAACAGAATTAATTTTAACTTATAATTTAATTTTTGTGTAATTCTCCGTACACTTCATAGTTGATTCTCTTCACTATCAAAATCTGCATCTAATTTTGAATTTATATATTAATGACTGATCTTGAACCATTTAATTAAATTATATCGTTGAAGTGTTTGATTCACCTATTTTGTTCAATAAGCGTTCAAAGTTTTGATGGGAATTATATTTTTCGCCATCCTTCTAAGTTTGAATTTTAACGACTGGAGCATCCTGCGCAGAACTTTCGTTTGCTTTTTCCTTTCCGCATAAGCCACAGATGAAAGGATTTATCCGTTTGCCGACTCAAAACTCGCAGGCCCATAATGTGCGGAATGCACTTTTGTTGTCTTTTTCGCACAATGGAGAACCGCCGACTCGAGACTCGACTTTCGGCCTCCGGGGTCTGCATTCGCCAAGTTGGTTTGCGAGAGAGACTCGCTTTCCTTTCTCTTCCGACTATACACGCCGTGTTCTCTCTCCTAATGTAATAAAGAGGCGTAAACTTTGTGAAAACTTTGGCCACGCACCGCAGCAGTTTCCACCGTCTGCCGTGCTCTCTCTCGCTGTTTTTGATGCATTGCCCGATTTACTTACTTAGTCGGTCGCCTTCATTGAAAAATTACTTGGTGGAAAGTCGCTTCCAATTGTTGCTAAATGGCGTCAAGGGCAAAAGGCTTACTGCGAATTTTTGTGATCAAATATTTTTTTATAATTTCTCACGCTTTATGCAAGTTAAAATATTTCTTAAGGCTTGAAAATCAATTTGAAATAAAATATTACAATACTCGCAAAATATTAAACTGTTAAAGAAATTAAATTTCATGCAAACACTCTAGGTGGATTCCATGAAATCAGGCAATCCTTGTTAAAAATAAAAATAAAATAAATTTATAAAAAAATTAAGGACCCTAAAAGGCGAGCTGCGATCTTTTGGTCCTTAAAAAACCTAGATTTTTGTTGTGTCCAAACTAAAACTAAATGGGAGGAATAAAAAAAATAGGTGAACTAAATTTTAATAAATAAAAATTGCAGAAAAAAAATTTCTTTACAACGAGGTTCGCCCTGTTTCAATTTTTTTTTAAAGAAATTATTTCACTTATACAAAATATTATGGAATTGAGAAAGAAAAGAGAAGAGGAAAAGTAGCAGATGTCTGAAAAACGCCCGACATTAATGAATATTCCACCGCCGCGGGGAACCCACAATTTAATTAGAATTTTTGTATTCTTCATTATTATGCTGCCTGGAACAAAATTATCTCTATTATTTCAAGGCGAACGACTTTTTACTAGAATTTCAAAATAAATCATACATTGAACCAAAATTTGCAGTAAAAACCACCTAAAGCTAAATAAATTGAGCAAAAAGGTCTTACTTCATGGATAAAGTACGAATAATTTTGAATATTATTACAGAGGCACGTTATCATGATGAAAGCTACCGGCTTATTAAAAATCTAGTCAGGAAAATGTAGAAAAGCGGAAAAATATAATGAAATAAAATGATTCACTATCTGAATATTACAATAAAATAAATTAAAGAGGAAAATTCGTGAAGCCAGAGGCGATTGTTGCTCCGCAAAAAGGTTCACCCCTTTTTTCAGTTCTTTTTTGGAAGGGCAGATTGCATAATTAGCAAATGATTTCATGCGTGAGAACACGCGGCGGCTGAGATTCAAACGCAAAGCGCAGTGGAAAAATGCGGTGCGGCTGATCTTTTCATCGGGAAAGCCGGCTGGTTTTGAAGGAAAATCTGTTTTCGGCGCTCGAGCGAGTGAGCACGTTCAGCACTTTAATGTGTGCACTCTCGGGGGCTTATTAGCCAACTTGAGCCTCGCCGGCTCGGCGAATCTGACTCGGAAAGTTGAAAGCAGCAGCCACTGCCGGCACACCAGAATGAATTAAGAACGGTTTAAGTTCGCACGCACCCTCTCCCCACGCAAACAAAGAAAGAGAGCCCCTATCTGCGCTGCTGCGGCCAAACAAACCCGAAAATTATCTTCAAATGAACTCGAGTGCTTTTTTATCCACTCGGAATAATTGCAGCCAATGGCTACAAACAAGATAATAAATAATTTTTTTAATATGGAAGAGTCGAAAAAGTTTAATTTAGATTTGGTGCCTTCTTAAATTTTTCAACAAAAATGAGTTATAAATTCATCATGTTAATTATTTTTACTTCTAAAGATTTTTGGTAAAAATAATCACATTATAAAGGATTTTTTGTACTATCCTTGGGACCTTTTGTCAGGAAAAAAATACATTTTCACCAGTCTGGTTATCCATAATGTGGGCTGGAACGATTAATTAACAATTTGGTACACACTGGCTAATTGCAGACAACACCTAGTGACCTGATAGGAATCTAACTATGGAATAACGAGGCGTTGCCGGCATGTGTTACAAGTTGGCGCAACCAGCAGCTATTAACATCAGCAATGATGCTGGTACATGTCTAGTGGTGGCAAATGTCCTGAAATGGTGGTCAGTCCTGTTTATTAATTTAGTTTTATAATTAATAAATTAGGAAATTACTATACTTTTATTCCGGCGTTACTTTTTATATGCTCAATTTTATGGTTTTAATAATAAAAGTTGTACTTGTTTGTTATCTGCTGTCAGGGAGTTCATTTATTCCCATGGAAGAATAAAGTTTATGGCGTAATGCGTCGTCGCCAAATCTAATCTTCGACAGTAAATCAAAACAGAATTATCGTATCGGAGCGATTTACAAACATGCAAATTTCAATCTGCTCTGCATACATTCGAGACATCCATTTCGTGAGAGAGCAAAAACAGATTCGCTCTGCGGTGAAACTCCATTAATCACGCATTAAATGGGCTGTCGGCGATAATAATTCTGGCACTAATTTTTAATAAACAATGGCACACATACAATACACACGCTCGCGGTGGCAGCTGGATCGATTTTTAAAAGCAAACACTCTCCAGCAGTGGCGGCGGCGGCGGGCCGAGAGAAAAAGAGGGCCGGCGCGCCGTTATAAATAATTTCGCGGCACATCCAGCTCACAGCTCATTTAATACTGACAAAAGAGTTGTAATTTTCTCTAAATAATGCAGCGCGCAAAAAGCGCAGCGGCACGCCGCTCGTGCGAGTGAGGAGCGTTCCAAACACAAATACGGACTTTTTTTGCCATCCGCGCGCTCGCCGGATGAATTTGCACCATCCAAGCTCGGGCTGCAGCCGGATTAGCTAGGCCCGGACTGCCTTTGGCTATCACTAAAACGTCTGCTCACTTTTCAAAATTATTTTCATACCGACAAGAACAATTGAAAAGTAATTTTATATTTTTTTAAAAGAGAACATTATTATGGTTTTGATAGGAGAATCTTTTTTTCACTGGCCGAGAAACAATCCAGGTACATTATTCTTTTTATCACATAATATGAAATAAAAACTAGATGAAATGAAAATTAGAGTTTAAAGAATAATGATTTCAACAAATGACATGATACATAATAATAATCAAAATAATAATAATAAAAGTAAAACTCTGTGGCTTTTTTCAAATTTATAATCTTGCAATTGTAAGTGATGAATTAAACCAAAATAGGTTGGAGAAAAATGGGTTTCCGCCACTCAAGAAGCGCCTTCTTTAATTATTTCCGTATCAAATAACATTTTTATCTATTTTTGATCTCTATAAGAAAAATTTTCCCTTTTGAAAAATTAATTTTTTATTTTTTAACCCCCGACTTTTGGCAAAATATTTTAAAAGATAATTTACCATTGGATATAAGGGACAAGTTTACATAAAAAATGTAATATCTCGTGTAAATTGTAGAATAGAAGACATTACGGGATCTTGGAAGTTTTAGCAAAATTTTTGCTAGTGGTGATGCCTTTTTGTCCAACAATCTCTTTTTGTTAAATAATTGTTTTCAAAACTTGGATGTAAACAATGTACTTGTAACAATGTGGACAAATAAACAAAATAATAGTAATTAAAGTCAATTAAATATTACGAAATATTAAATAGAATTATTTTCATAATTTTTTTACATGACATTAGGTTACTTTCAGTCTAAAAAAAAATGTAAAAATTTAGTATTTTTATCTTCCTAGACGTATTCCTTGAATCTAGAATATATTTTTTAAATTTAATTTATATAAAAAAATAAATCAATTTAAATAGACTTAAAATAAAGCAAAACCAAGTGATCCACAAACTCCGATTGAAAGGCACTTGCAAAGTTTCAGTATTTTGATGGCGTGTGCGTATATTTTACCGCCAATGATCGGGAAGCCATCAAAGTGGATCATAAACAGAAAGTTTCCATCGCGTGCTTGGATTTATGCGAATCAATTACACGTGGCTTTGGTGTGGATTTATGACAAAATTATGTGGGAGGGGAGTGGAAAAAGCGATTCGGCACTCGGCCTTCAGTCCGGCCCTGCTGACGGCGAAGCGACAAATAATAATGCACTGGTAAAGGCGCATTCAAGGGCTTATTTTCTGGCCCGGCGCCAAAATTGTTAACCTCGTGTTCTACACTTATGACTGCTGGAGGCGGAAGGGAGGAGGGCCTCCTCCGGGGGCGCGAGCCGTTCGCTTGCGGGGACGGCGGCTTTAAGCAGATTATACGAAGCAGCGCACCGACGATTATCTTGGCCGCTTCGAAAAACGGAAGGAAACAATGCAAAGCTCATTACTTT